AATGCTATCTAATGCCGGAGAGGGGACCGGAGGCCCGGGCGGCTGAGTTTGATGGCCGGCGCCCACAACTGAGCGCTGAGTTCATTGAAATACTGGACGAGTTTTGCCGTAAAATTTTAGCGCCCGAAAGATTGACGCCTAAGATGGCCGGCGGGCGTCCGTTGACGGGCCGGGCGTTTAGTCTGTATATCAAAGTCTACGTGGATATGTTCAATAGCGGTCAGATCCAGGGGTGCGATATGCTCGAGGCCTTGAGCAAAATCACCGACCATAATCTAATTAAACAAATTAAGGTATTATTTAATTGAATTTGCAAAGTATCTAAAAATTTAATTAAGATATAATATTCAAGAACGTTAATGCAACCAACAATTCAAAACAATAAATCTAAACATTATAACTTTATGATTATTTAGCTATTATTACAGTTGATAACTTGTGAATAATATTAGTTGCTGTGCTTTGTTTTTTAAATACAGTACAGTATTTATATGTAGTTATAAATTTATTATTCCTTAAACATGCACGCAAATAACCTATGATTATCTTACCTAGGATGATTATCAACTAAAACTACAAGACCTAATCAGTGATGAGCGCCGGGAGGGTCGCAGTCGACGTGAATTGACGGTCGGGGCGGACTCTCTGAGAGATGAATGTCGGCAAACATTTGAGACACAGAAAAAATCGGCAAACGATCGTACGGTACGGGAGTTGCGGGAAGTGTTGGCCACGACCTTAACTGAAACGACCGGTCGAGCACTGGACGAGTACGACAGGCGCCGAGCTGTGACCGCCGAGCGAGTGATCGGCGATTTGGTTGACCAGTTTAAGGCCACAATCGGGCCAATGGGCTCCGGGCACGAGTACTACGGCGAGCGTCAGTTTGAGACAATTGTGGCCAACAAAGTCGATGAGCTAACCGCCGAGTTTGAGCTGTTCTGTCTAGATGATGATGAGTTGTTGGCCGCCAATCAAGATAAAGTATAGCTGAACCAATTAAATAATTAATAGAATTAATTATTTAATTATAAAATTTAACTTTTTAAATTTATAGTTTAAAAATCAAATTGATTTTCACGGCAAAGCATTTATGGAAGAAAATCGGCGCCGAATACAGGGGCTGAAAGAATTATACGATTCAGAAGTTACTAGGCTAAAAACTGTTTATGATCAGGTTTGTTTCGTTTAAATGTGTTAATTCACTGCATTAATGCTAATAAAATTTAAAAACTCAAAACACAGACCATGGGCGATCTATTTACGGACGCTGAGCAATCGTACCACCCAGACGACCTGGATACACTGCAAACTACCACTACCGGTGATACGCTAACACAATTAAACCAATACACGGCCAACACCCACGCTGTGTCAATTGAACCCTACAAAACTGCCCTGGACAATTACTGTTGGGGCAAATACACCGACTATATGGAGAAAAACGGCATTCGGCGCGAGAGGGCCGAAGTGGATGCCCGGGAAGAGCTCCGGGAGCTGTGCGATGATTACGAGCAGGAGTTGGAGCGCTTGATAGAGTTGGGTGCGGCCGGTGCCGACACTTTTGATGAGTTCCGACCCGAGGCTCGAGCTGTGGGACAGCGAATGGTGGCCGAGCGCCGGGACCGACAGCCCCCGGCCGGTGGGGCCCGGCGTCCAGCGTTAAACATGCGCGACGTGAGCGCCCGGTTCGCCGAAATACTGGCCGACAGTCAGTATATATTTTTGGAGAAGAAACGGAAAGAGGGTTTGGTTACTGAGCAGCTCCTGGACGCTGTGCTCAAGACATACACTGAGCGTATGGCCAGACACCGGGAGGACACGGCGTACATCAAGTCCGACCGACTCGACCAGATTCACGGTAAACTGTGCGACGAGCTATTGGCCGAGTTTGACCACAAACGCCAACATTTGACTATGGACAAATTTGCCGACATGGTCAATGAACTGTTGGCCCGCGTGTATGACTCCGTTCGCGACGATAACGATAAAAACACACCAACCCTACCGGCCATCGGAATTGACCTGGGCACAACTAACTCGTGCGTGGCCTACTATAAGCCAGACAAACTCCGGGGCGAGGTGATTGTGTTCAAAAATGATCGTGGTCACTTTACAACACCCTCGGTGGTTGAGTACAAGGCCGCTGAACAGGAGGTGATTGTGGGCGATGTGGCCAAAGAGAACCAGATATCGTCTCCCAGACAGACCTTATACTCTATTAAGCGTTTGATTGGCCGTAAGTACAGCTCTGATGAGGTGACCACCGATCGGAAACACTGGCCCTTCCGTGTGATAGACATGGGTCAGGACGAGCCGGGCCTCGAGGTGGAGACCAGTCCGGGTAAGATCGAGCGGTTTATGCCCGAAGAGGTGTCGGCACAGGTGTTGAAAAAGATGAAAGAGACGGCTGAGCAACGGATGAGCACCGGTGACGAGCGGGTGGTCATAGAAAACTGCGTGATCACTGTGCCGGCATATTTTAATGACGCCCAACGCGAGGCCACGATAGGCGCGGCCACAATGGCCGGCCTACACGTGTTGCACATCATGAATGAACCCACGGCCGCGGCGCTCGCCTATCAGAGCAACCGATTTGATGATCTTAGAACCAGGTGTGGTATACAACATGTTGCTAGTTTGTAAATTATTAACTTACATTAATTTTATTAACTAAAATGTTTTCTACAACTGCAACTCTATAAACAGGTTTAATTACATTTTTACCTTTGTGGTACAATATATGTTTAATTTCAATTATACATTTTAATAATACAATTTAAACTCGAGCACATCTCAATTAAAAAATATCTAATTATTAATCAATTGATACTGTAATAGATTGTTATTAACCAAGTGTGTTTTTGTTGAACACCAAACTAGGACCGTGTTGATATACGATTTTGGGGGAGGCACGTTTGACGTATCGATACTAGCACTAGAGGGTTGCGATGTGAACGTGTTGGCCACGCACGGCAACAATCACCTAGGTGGCGACGACGTGGACAATAACATGATGACCCGTTGTTGGGCAGAGTTTGAGCGCCAGACGGGTCAGGCGGTGGACGTGCGGACCGACGCGGGAGCCGTAGCTCAGAGGCGACTCAAACGCGAGTGCGAGCGCCAAAAATGGGACCTAAGCGAGACCAACTCGGCCAGGGTGACCATCAACAATTTTTTCGACAACAATCACCTGGATGTCGAGCTGACCCGCAAGGATTTTAACACAATGAACGCAGCGCTGTTTGCCAGTACAATGGACTGCGTAAACATTGCGATGGGTATAGCGGGTAAAACACCCAGGGACATTGACGATGTGATCTTGGTGGGCGGCTCCACGCGTATACCCTATGTGCGCGAAATGTTGGCCGACGAGTTTCTCAATAAGAATCTGTGCCAATCGATTGATCCGGATTTGGCTGTGGCCGAGGGGGCGGCCATTCAGGTAAGACCATGGTGGTCAATTAGTAATTCATAAAACACAAGTAGTAATTATTAGTAGTAATAAAAATTTGTGTTTGTTTTGTTTTTGTTTTGCTTAGATAATTAAAAGTTAATCCACATTTTTAATTCAATAAATTTATTTCAATCATGATATTATATAATAAATGTTAATTTAATCCACATTTAATCCACTTATAGGCGGCCATATTGAACGGCAACCAAGCTCAACAATTGGGAAAATTACGTGTGCTTGATGTGACGCCCTATAGGCTGGGCGTAGCTAAAGAGGGTGACCAGTTTTCCGAGATTGTAGAGGCCCAGTCGAGCATACCGTGTTCCAGGTCAAAAACGTACCGAACGGTGCAAAATGGACAGACTAGCATTGACGTGGAGGTGTACGAGGGCAATGAAGCGGTGGCCAGCGCTAATCGGCACCTGGGTCGATTTACTGTGTCCAATATACCGCCCGGACCGGCCGGCGAGCACACGATCCAGATCATTTTTGACATAGACGATGATGGCATTTTAAAGGTGCGCGCTCTCAATCTGTCCACTGGTCAAACTGCCGGCCGTATTGAAGTGGTCAAACACAGTGGCCGACTCACTGCTCAGGAGTTGCAGGAGCGCGCCATCTAGATACATGTTATTCTACATTGATTAAATGTATTATTAATTATAATTTAAACTGTAATTATTAAGATAACGTCAGTATTTATTATGTTTTCAAAAAAATTGATTATAATATTGGATCACTTATTATATAAATAACTAATTTTCTAATATGACATTTTCAATTTACAATCGTAATGCATAAGTTTATAATGTTTTATTAATTTTTAAAAATTGTTTGTAAATTTTTATTAAAACTTATTGAACCAAGTTAAACCAATTCAACTGCTTTAATTAAAATAAGGTTTAAATGTCAGACATACAAATGTATATTCACTTCAGACCAATTGTAAACAAAAAGTCATCCAGTGATTTAATTGCTAAATACAATAATTATCTTAATTGTTCATCTAAAAACAATATAGATTTATACGGACCACTCACTAGAAGTTTAAATGATTTATAAATTTAGTAAATCTAAAACATTAAAACATTTTAAAGTCATGTCATGTGTTTTTAAGCATATTTAAATTTATAGTCAATTTATCTGAGTGTAACACCGTTGATGATAGCGCCGATACCAGGCTATTAGTTTGTCGTTGCGGGTAAGTATCGGGTGCTTTTGTTTCTGGAAATTCACCCAGATCATCATATCGGCCTCAACCTATTAATTTGAAATAAATAAAATTGCTCAACATCAATTTATATGACGTTGTTTTAAAATTAAAAACTACTCTTCTACTATACCACCATTGATAAAACTAATTTATATGTTAATCATGGTAATATTTTACAAACATAACTTATATACAGATTATGTTACTTTACGGCGCAAATGCAAAGTATACCTGTAGTTCTATCATATAGTGGACGGCTATAGCATATAGTTTGTTCAATATATTTGGCTTGCGGTACACAATGGATTTGATGAGTGTTTGACCATGGCGCAATGGTACAGTGGCCGCCAGTGCTAAAACAGGTCCCAGCATTGAGTCATCGTTGCCAATGAGAAGCGCGACCAGCACTGGTGACACGTGACACAATCTTATGGATACAGTGACCAACTCGATGCCCAATAGACAGATGGTAAGCCTACCGGCCATTTCATTTTCCGAGGCATACGTTGTGTCAAACGAAAATTTTGTGCTAGTTATGTATGGTATAATTGATGTGTGTATGTAAGTAGCGTGCTCTAAGTCTACAGCATTCTCGGTGACTACCTAATGATCGTGGTCAAATCGAGATTAGCTTAATAACTTTTAATATTTTTCTATAATTTTAAACAATTAATAGTTAGCTGTTGTGGTCAAAAGTGACCAGCGGGCAATGAGCTAGTATTGATTGAAAAGGTTAATTAATATACAGTAAAAAATATCCTGTATATCTGTTATAAAATAAACTTATGTTTACATCATGGTTGCTGTCCATAAGTCTTGTAATCGAGCATTTAAGTGATAGTTTGTGGCCGTATTTGGCGACAAAGTCCTCGGGGTAGTGGTCGGGCTCCGAGCCCTCCGAGTGGTGCCAAACATATATCAATTCATTCCTCTCTATTGTCGGCCATTTCTTTACCA